AAACATCATAATTGTTTCCAGGGATGTGGGATTGATTATTGTATATCCCCATCTTTATAATTGGTATACAGCGGAGTGGGATCTGATCTTGATTGATCTCCTCGAAGCCATATTCTTTATATTGGTTTGCAGCGGTGTGGATCGTGTAACATCTCAATCCAGCACATTTTTTTATAATCCTGAGGTAAATTTTTGCCAAATCGTGACACTTAAAAATTACCTCAGAGAAAGGACATCTCTAGCGCCATTTTGATATACATTAAGCAAAATGGCACCGCCTAAAGCAAAGAAGGGTACTTCTGAAGAACCAGAAAAAGAAGGGGCTACAGAAGCAGTTGAGGAAACTGAGACCCAAGTACAAGAGAGTAGACAAGAACAAATAGCTACCTCTTTGACAATTGAAAAGCTTAGATTAGAAATGAGGTTGAGAGAACTTGAGTTTCAGGCTGAGAGAGAAAGAGAAAAGATACAAGAGAGGGAGAAAGAAAGAATGATTGAGTTGGAAAGAGAAAAGATGCAGATGGAGAGAGAAAGAGAACGTTTAAGACATGAGGAGAGAATGGCAGAATTACAATTGAGAGAGAGTGAGAGAACTCCTAACTTAAACCAACAGCATGACTCTAATATGCAAAGGGTTTTAAAGAACTTTCCTCCATATGTAAAAGGGGATTGTGTAGAGTCATTTTTGGCCAGTTTTGAACGAGCTTGCCATGATTTTGAGGTACCTGAAGCCAAAATGATGGTGTACCTGAGACCACTACTTTGTGGGCAACTTAGTGAGGTTTACGCTGATCTTAGAGTCAGAAAGTGCGAATTACCTCATTTAAAGAAAGGGTTAAGCTGAGGTTTGGCTTGACGCCTGAACAGAGCAGAAAAACGTTCAGGGAGATCAAAAGAAAGCCAGGAGAAACCTTTTCACAATTAGGAAGCCGAGTAGAGAAAGCCTTAGAGAGATGGCTTGAGGGAAGTAAAACGACCACTTTCGAAGAGTTAAAGCATTTAGTTTGTATGGAACAGTTTTATCGGCTGATCCCCATACAAATGAGGTGGTTCGTTAAAGACAAGAAGATTAAACAAGTGTCAGATCTCGCGGCTTGGTTGGATGAGATGGAGCATGACTGGAATGTGAGTCATAGCTCAGGAGCCACCAAGAGACCGAGGGAATGGGTCCCAAAAGAGAAAACCGACGTGGGAAGCCAAAATCCTGTCAGGAGGGACGCCATTTCAGAGATTGCCACAGGAAAAATTGTCTGTTACTTCTGCCATCAAGAGGGTCATAAGAAAACGGCTTGCCCTAAATTAAACACCCAGAAAAGGCCAATTACACCACCAAAGCCAGTTAAAGTGGTTAAACAAATATCTCCACACAAAGAAAATCAGTCTCCACACGCACAGGAGGAACCTGTAAAGATAATGCGAGTATGGAGTACTGAAAAAGAGACAAATGGAGATTATTTGAAGGTGATAAAAGTAAAGGGTCAAGAACTAATGGGATTTAGAGACACTGTGTCCGAAGTATCTCTCATTAGGCCGGAGTTTGTCAAGGAAGACCAGATACTTCCAGGCCAAAAGTATAAATTGAGAGGAATTTATGGCC